TAAGAATTTAAATAACGATTTTTTCTTTTTGTCCTCAAACGCTCTATCCCCTACTGAATGGTAAAACACAAAAATTGTAAAATAATAACGGTTCACCTTTTTGAATAAAAAATGAGTCTCAGCGCCTGAAACTTGACGTTATGCATCATCGGAAGAAAAGATTCAAAGATACCCGATAATAAATGAACCTGAAGTATCGGATTCCAATGAAGTAAAAGTCCCGTAAGAAAATATCCAAAAGGCGTTGTTGCATCAAAAACAGATTTGGTTTTAAACAGCAAGAGAAAACCCTGGTGCCGATATCGCATGTGTATGGATTATGCTGTCACTGTGTATGTCACACACGAGAGTTATACCGGGACTCCTGTTCAACCCCCCACCATCTCCTCCTTCCACATAGTCAATATGCAAATCGCGATAAGAGCCCATCACTGTTTGGACGGGTGTGATTTAATAAATAAATCGCGCAGGGGTTGTGCGGATCCCGCAAGTCTCGTGCCATCCATTTCGTCGAGAGGCGCTGCTTTGCGTCCAAGTACCCGTCAATATGCATAACGCTGCTTTCAGCAATGAGAGGATGTTTTTACCACTCGTGAATCATTTTGAAGTTGGGACTTTGTTTTTAAGCTCGACTATTTATATGGAGACACGAAAACGTATCGGTGACGATCAATCATTTTTTTTTTTCAACGTTATGGGGCTGTAATCAGATTCTAAGCAATAGCTTAATTGAGAATTTCACGCAAGATTATTTTTGATAATATAAATGATGCAAAAGTAAGTAACTAAGATCAACAAGGAGTTTCACTCATTATTTTTAATTATTTGGTTATTGCAAGAAAAGTTTTACATATGGACTACGTTAGAATCTATAGATATTGACAGTAACATCAATCTAGATGCTGTATACATAAACTGAACCATCACATGCTATATTTTTATTGAGTTGTATTTAGTCTTGCTTGAAAAAAAAAGTTGCAGTAATAGTGTGGTTTGCTAGGTACAATTTTAGAATTTATATTGAAAAAATATGTCTGCCCCTACATTCAGCTTTTAAAATTATTTTATTTGAGACGAAATATTAAAAAAAAATCTACTGTACTTCGACTAGCTGAGAATTATTAGCTAGTAATATTTTAAACTAAGTGNTGTTAAAAAAACGTCTGCCCCTGCATAAAACCTTAAAAATTGTTCTATTTAAGAAGAAATGTATAATAAAAATCTACAATACTTCGACTAGCTGAGAATTATTAGCTACTAATATTTTAAATTAGGTGCTTTATATTGGAGGAATTTGTGTTAAAAAAACGTCTGCCCCTGCATAAAACCTTAAAAATTGTTCTATTCAAGAAGAAGTGTATAAATGTAAAAATTGTTCTATTCAAGAAGAAGTGTACAATAAAAATCTACAATACTTCGACTAGCTGAGAATTATTAGCTACTAATATTTTAAATTAGGTGCTTTATATTGCGGCTGTTTATTTGTACGGAAAATTCATGAAACTTAATTTTTTTTACTTGATTTTTTTAAAATCTAAAGTAAATTAAAGATATACAATTTTTTAAGATAAGTAATTTTGATGTTTTAATAAGTTAAATTATTTGTTGGTTTGTTGATACGTTGTAATTTAACGTTGGAAAATCAAGCAGGAAAAGAAGAATACAACTAATATTTTGTTTTGAGTGATAATTAAAGTAAAATGGTAAATAAAATTAAAGAAGCTGGTTTAATTCAATAAACTTCGTATATTTCAGCAAAATTATATATTGCTCCGTAAAGTATCAATTCTCATGGTAAATTTACGATACCTAACAACTACGTGTCGAGTTGAGTACTGTTTATTCTCACAAATACAGTAAAAGTTT